CGATCGCGGAGATCTGCCGGCGCGTGCGCGCAATGCGAGGAGGGGGCGCGATGCCGCGTCTCGGCCGCGTGCTGCTGCACACGGACGCCGCCCAGGCCCTTGGCAAAATCAGGGTCAACATCGAAGAGCTCGGGGTGGACTACCTCACCGTCGTGGGGCACAAGGTACCACAAACACGAAGACAAAGGTCCCCCGTGTAGACTTTTAAGAGGCCGCTGGGGCAAGTGCTGTTAGCGAGTAGCACCTATGAAGGCCGTGCGACACATGAGGGGGTGAGTGGCCAGCGTCACACCCGACCGCCTTTTAATGCTCTGTGGCATCAGGCCGAGTCAACTTAGGGGAGGCCCACGACTGGTTTATAAATATTTGTGACTGATTTTGGCCGTGAGCAGGAATCAAACTTGGGTCGCCGGGTTTCGTAGCGCATTGCACCACCACTCCCTTTACACAAAGACACAAAACAAAATTCCCTTACTTAACCTCAACGGACTCCATGGGCAAGCACTCTTAGCCTATCTACCTATTCTTATTTTACCAGGTAAGGTCCATTGAGCTATACAGCTCATTTTCAGAAGCGACCTGGCCACAAATGATAGCTCAACGAAATGGCTTATCATCACGTGGAAATTTATATCAGCAAAATACTCTAAACGCATGTTTCTAAATGTGGGGGGGGAAACTGGAGGACCCGGAGAAAAATCCACGCAACCACAGGGAGTCGGCATCGAACCAATGACCTCCTGCATCCCAGCCGAGGGAGTTAACATCTTGCCACCGCGGCACCCCACCGTACACACACCCCACCGTACACACACCCCACCGTACACACACCCCACCGTACACACACCCCACCGTACACACACCCCACCGTACACACACCCCACCGTACACACACACACCCCCCCGTACACCCACACACCCCCCCCTACACACACACACCCCACCGTACACACACACACACACCCCACCGTACACACACACACCCCACCGTACACACACACACCCCACCGTACACACACACACCCCCACCGTCACACACACACCCCCACAGTCACACACACACCCACCGTACACACACACACCCCACCGTACACACACACACCCACACCGTACACACACACACCCCACCGTACACACACACACCCCACCGTACACACACCCCACTGTACACACACACACCCCACCGTACACACACACACCCCACCGTACACACACACCCCACCGTACACACACACCCCACCGTACACACACACACCCCACCGTACACACACACCCCACCGTACACACACACCCCACCGTACACACACACACCGCACCGTACACACACACACCCCACCGTACACACACACACCCCCACCGTACACACACACCCCCACCGTACACACACCCCACCGTACACACACCCCCCACCGTACACACACACACCCCACCGTACACACACACCCCACCGTACACACACCCCACCGTACACACACACCCCCCCACCGTACACACACCCCCCCACCGTACACACACACACCCCACCGTACCACACACACCCCACCGTACACACACACACACCCCACCGTACACACACACCTCACCGTACACACACCCAACCGTACACACACCTTACCGTACACACACACACCCCACCGTACACACACACCTCACCGTACACACACCCCACCGTACGTACACACACCCCACCGTACACACACACACCCCACCGTACACACACCCCACCGTACACACACCTCACCGTACACACACACCCCACCGTACGCACACACACCCCACCGTACACACACACACCCACACACACACAGCGACGAACAGATACAACAAGTGGTGCATCTGTCAGTCATCTCAGTCAAGCCAAAGTGAACCTAGCCTGGCACAAGCGCTGCGGTGACGTCATCACCACTTGGCGGCGAGCGTCGGCGGCTGCGGCCGCTGTTGTCATGCGCGTGTGCAGTTCTACGGGCCGCGCGTGGGAGCGCTGTGCGTGCGGGACCTGGGCGCCGGCACCCCGCTCGTCCCCATGCTCTTTGGGGGCGGCCAGGAGCGCAACTTTCGTCCGGGGTGAGGACCGACACCCCGGCGACGTTTCTCTCGTTGAAATCGGTAAACGACAGAAACACGAGCGCGGGGTCCCGAAAGCGCAAAGATTTGCGTACCGAAGCTCTCAGCCTTATCCAGACCGCCGGCTCAAGGGAACTGAATGCGTGGGCATTTTGTCGCTTAGAGCGACAATTCATAGAGTTGGGAAATGTGGTTGGCTGGCGACATTCTGTGTGGTCCCGCGTGCTGCCTGTCCCCAGCCCTGTCCCCCACCCCCCACCCCCCACCGTGAGCAAAGCAACCCACGGAATGTCTGGCTGCTTGACAGGAAGGCACGAAGGGAATGACGCAGGCCGTTTGTCTGTTGCCAGGACTGAAAATACCCCCATGATTGCTGGCCTGGGCAAGGTGAGTGCTGCGGTGCTGTGGTCGTGGCCACGAGATGTTTAACCAAACATAGATCCATGCAGGTTTCACCGTCTAGAGACATTTTAATTATCTCTCGCACCCCACAGCCATCCCTCGAATCAAACACCTTATCTCATCTGCAGGTGTTTGCAATGTACTAATAGCTTTCAGGTATCCTCACAGAGTTTAAAATCCTTACAATGTAACGTATTCGTCAACATTTGAACACTGAAAAATGACCTGCTTAATTGATCGGTTGGAATTACATGCGGCAACATCGCCCCCTACTTCAAACTCTTGGCAGGACCCTCCTGAAAAGAGTCTTGAGACTCTTGAGTGAAGCTTTCATGGGTAAATAGATCTAATAATATTCGGGCATCATCCGATAACGTTGAGCGCACGATGATGATGACAATAATGTGAATGGTTTATTGGCCCAAGCCACGTGGGGTGTTGGAGGGAAGCGGTGTTGCTTGTCGACGCGGCTGAGTGTGTGGGGGCCTCGTGTTTCCTCCGCCGCACCGCTGTGGGGCGGGCAGGCCGCGGAGTTGGTGTGTCAGCACCTGGACGAGTACGAGAGGCACATGCGGCAGATGCGAGACTACCTGGAGGAACTGCTGCTGGTGAGGTGTGCCACGTGACGCACAACAGGATGGAGACCGACCCTCGAGGAGCAGAGGGTCAGCTGGAGTCGGCTGGGATTTTCTCGGGCTCACAGCTGCGTTCTGCTCGGCATGTGTGTCCGTGTGTCCGTGTCTGCCGCAGGCGGCATTTGGGACCGAGCGCCTGCACTTTAACGGCCACTTCTCGGGCTCCGACCGATTGCCCAACACCTGCAACGTGTCCATCCTGGGCCCCTGCCTGCAGGGTGCGCCCGCACTCCTCACTCGCCAGAGTCGTCTGCGCCATTACTGCGCGGTCGTTAAACTTGTTTACCCATAAAATGCGGGTCAGGGACTGTTTCGGCATGATCCCTCATCCCTCTTGTGTTGGAACACCGCGGTCCGAGAGTTAAGAACCAAAAGCAGAGCCCTGCTCAACGAGTAAAGCATTAGACCGGGCATCCGAGGGGGCACTAGACCCGTGATGGTTCTTTTTTTATTGTCACTGAAGACTCTAAAGACACTTTATCATGGAGGGTCTTGCCAAGTTTCTTTTTGGGTCGGAGACGATCTTGCTGCGTGTGTAATTCCGATTCAGGAATGTTTTGGGTCGTTGTTCAATATCGGGACATTAGGCCAATTGCATCTCCATTGTTTGTATCGTTCACCCGGCAGACTCGCCAAGATCTTTCTCTGCTCTCAAAATAAATCATTAATTCGCCTCCTTCCCATGTTTTCCTCTCCACGCAAGTAAATGCAATGATTGGTTACACCCCATCGGCCACACGTCCTTCTGGGAGTTCGCTCTTTCAGCAGCATTGGTTGATCACAAGGAAACGCTCGACAGGTTTCGACATTCAGTGTCACGCCAACAGTCGGGCTCGCTTGAGCCAATGCTGGCGAACTGCCAGACGTTTACAGACAAAGACCTGGCTCTGTTAGATATGGGTCCTGGTTCGAGTAAAAACCATATAATATACAACACGAAATAATCATTCGCTTATGGAGAGTAACGAAATGACGATAAAATATATTGATTTTACGACTTCACTAAAGCACAAACTTTATCACTTCCACAAAATAGATGGCAAGTGTAACGCAAGAGTGTTGCGAAACCGTGCGCGTGCATGCCTTTGCACTTTGTACATTGGTGATGTGGGTGAACACCAGTACGAGCCAGATCCATGCGTCGATGGAAGGCTGCATTGGGAATGAAAGTATCTGGTTACAGCAATAAATGCACAAGTCAGATTTTAATCATTGTAGCTTCCCAGAATTGCGTGTTTGTAGCACAGTCGTCAAACGGCTTGGGGGGAGGGTGAGGATGTGATTTGGCCTACATTGCAATACTAAACTATTTGAAATGGTTTACCAGGTAAGGCCCACTGAGCGATATCGCTCTATTTTAGAAGTGACCCAGCCACAAATGATAGCGCGAGACTACCTGGCTTATCAGGTGGAAACTTATATCGGCCAAATACTCTAAACGCACGTTTCCAAATGTGGAGGGAAAAACCTGAGAATCAATACATGGTAGCCCTACCCACAAAAAAGAGTGCTGAAACCCAAACACTACGCTGGTGCTATCTGCTAAATGAAGACTCTAGAAAATTCTTTAGCATCTTAGGCGGGATCAGAACTACATGTTTAGTAACGCCGGCAAAGTGGCGGCACCTAAAACGTATCAGTTCAGAAAGACCCTAGGAAACCTTATAACGCACTCCATGATGCCGTGACGGTCCGGTGCTTCTCAAGAAAGCCGGACCGAGAGCCAAACTGATGATTTACCCATACTTGTTGTAACATGCTGGCTACAACTCAGGCTCAGATGGTTTCTAGAACTTTAGGGTTTGGCATTTACCCCTTCCCACCGTGGTTAGGGCTCGGACGCCTCGCGCCCACCCCGCGGGGCTGCTTACTGTCAAAATTACCTATATCCACTACTGCCGCTATTTGCCTAATGGATTGACGGCGCGCGCGTACTAACCCGTTTCGTGATACACTGTTACTCGGTACTCTAAAGGTCACTAAATAGCGATCGCTGGCGGGCGAAGATCTGAAAGACACCACTTACAGGCACACTTGCCACATATCAGTCCAGAGGACGGATATGACGCTTTTGTGTCTATTAGATTTGTTAGGCTTCCATGGAATACCGCCTCTCAGGTGAATACTACCGGCCATCAGATCGGTCCCTGGTCGCAAATGGCTACTCTGGTTCGTATTAAATTTCCGAGTGTCCTGTAGGTTAACCGTAGTTCAAAGTATTTACTTTTTCGGGCTAACTCAACGTTTAGTTGTCCTCCTGAAACTTATTATTTGAGCTACTCGTTCTTAGTGGCCTGTGGGACCGCGGTGGTCATGTTCCAGTCTTTCGTTGCTGGTGCCTTCGGGTCAACGAAGAGCCGCAGATCACGCCGAACGCCGGAACTGACAATCACGACTGTTGTGCATCGAGGCACTGGCTGCAAGTTCGCAGTATATCGCGACCTTCACCCGTGCCAGCCGTTACAGTACGCGACTTATGTCTCAAGTAGAGCAATAGTCGGAAGGACGAACGCAGGTCTCCAAAACACGTGCGCGAAATATTTGCTTCGTGGGCGCGATAAGCACTATATTACCGAGCGTAGTATATGATTTCATCCATTATGAATGAACTCCGACCAGCGCATTGACCTGCACACTTGAAGAATACCTGCGACAGGATACTTATAGGCAAACCTTCTTGTTTACATTTTTGTCGTCAATACCTTCACATAATAATTACCAACCACTGAACCGTAGGGGGTTGCGTTCTCTGATTCGGACTTCTCCGCACCTAAATACAAGGTTGTACCATGGATGATTGTTAAGCCCATTGACTTCTATTAAAAAATGACCGAGCGCTTAAGGCATATTTTCGGCATAAGTCAAGCGCGCATATTAATGGGGGGAGTAAAATACGTTTGCAGCAACGTTATCCTGTGGAGACTGCGATCAACTCCCGCTGCTAATTCCAATCCAGTCGAACTGGTGGCGCATACTCTCTAGGTGAATGGACTTTATCCCTATAGGTCTAAATCGGGGTGAGATGGGCGGCTTACGCCTACATTATCCTCCCCCTACGGGGAACGAAACCGCCCGGATATCGACACAGTAATAAGTGGACCCCTTATAGTTGCGAATATGGGCTATCCATTTCTTTACTACGCATATTAGATACGTGATAGCCGCGCGATTTTTCCACCTCCTGCCATACCCCTATATCACAGTGCACGGGACTAGCCTCAGTGAGATATTATTGATCCTTGCCCCCTCTATGTTCATAATCCGCGTAGACGAAATAAAGTGTTTCTGCGCCCTAAAGCTCTATGCACTCATAGCTCAACTGCGAGACGTAGGTTATTTAATGGAATGCAAGACACCGAAGAACCGTTAAGCCAAACGAATCTGATTCACAAGCCGCTACCCCCTATGACGGCTTAGCATTACGGAGGGCCGCGGCCTCAAATACCAATGATACTGAAATACACTAGTACGTTGGAACGAGGCACTATTTTAGCGCCACGTCCCGAAGATGCGAACCGCATACGAGACCCCGCGGTTTTCGTTAAGAACGATTGTGGCAATTATTAGACGGATGCCAGGTTATGGCTAGTTTGCGCACTGGGGCACTGAAGCCAGACCCAAAAGATTTATTTGATAGAACATACAAATAATACCAATATTTAAGGTGGAGCACAGTTTAGTCTGTGATCTTCTGAGATGTTTTTTTTAAAGAGGCAACTCGTCAGTCGTCGTTCACCTGGATACCAGTTGCATAAGCGCTGTAGTAACCCAGGGGTTGCTAAAGTGTCACGCTCGATGATCGTCGTTAAGCCGTATTTCATCCCGGAATCGTCCATCCCTCCTCTAGCTTACGATTGTTTGGTCATACGCAGTTCATTTTTTAGGCGACCAGCTCTGTCATCCTCACTATTAGCAGGCGATAGACCTACACATGCTTCTCTCATAGTGACACGATCTAGGCTAGAGGCGGCTTTTGCACGTGTTACTGAATCTGCCAAGACCTCAGTTTCATCGCGCGGAGTCTAGCTACTCCAGCAGCTCCCGGAGAGTGAACCTGTATCGACTTCTCATATGAATCACTATAACTGATAGAGTATTCTACGTGGAGCTTACGGTAACGAGTGTCCGGTAAGTGGTAAATGGCGCTACATCTTTTCGTGAGTTAATAGACAAACCTACCTAGGGATTATGAACCGAATCCCGAGAAGTAGGCATCTCGGCGCTAGTATTGTAAAGATCAGGCATAACGCGACGTATACTGCCCACCTGTCCCGTAATTCACAGCGTGGCAATCTATCCCCTGAAACTCCACCTAGGACGTTAAACCTGGCCTGTGCTAATAGCCCGCTCAGCCGCTCTGCCTGATGCAAAAGACCTATCTATGAGATTCAAACTGCGCGACGACACGAATCCTATTGACGTGCAAGTGTATTAAGCTAAGCCTTAATCATCACTGGACAAACTAATAACGCGGGGAATGCTACAACGGTGACCTGCTAAATATTGCTTTGAAAGGCACATTTTGGATAGTAGCGTTGGCGCCTATCGGGAAATAGGCGATGTCGACCAGTGCCTTTAGGTGAAGAAAATCTCTATTCTCACCTCCTGCCCCTCGATGAGTTGGCTTCTTGAAGGATCGCCCGTGATTGCTTTGGCCCCACCAAGGATACGTGAACAATTCTTACCGGTTTCCAGTATGCTCCGAACCATCTGAAATTCCTGGGCCGGTGTACGTTGCTCTCATTCTCATGGACATCGGAAAGAAAACAGTCCCATCCAGCTCAACATTTATCGCGGTCTCTTCTTCGTGTAGCGATGCGTGCCATGTATGTTAGTTTTATATCATGGAGTTGGCGGGGTGCTGGGGGGCCACGTGGAACGGCGCTAGAGTTCTAAAAGTGACCTGGGCTCAGTGGGCAGCATTGTCGGACCGATGCGCATGTTTCACGTGGTACAATGGGGGCAGGGCGTCAATTCCTTCAGAGTTTCGTCTCCATCCTTAGGCATATAAATTTGGGGGCAACACTGCTCCGGTAAAATACGCGATCACCTAGCACTGGTAGTTGTGATTACCTGTCTGCTCGCTGTGGAGGAGATCATAGCCTTCGAAGTCATTGCGCCCCTGTACTAATCTCCCTAGGTCATAATTTCCGTGGTGCGCTAAAAAAACGGCGATATCTCTGAGCGAATTTCAGCTCATTGATGAATCTTAGTTCTTAGCCTTCTAACCTGTTGAAGCGTCCTAACGTTTTCCGTCTGCGGGACATAAGCTATTCTTATTGTCTTGTCACA